TATAGAAGGTAATTTCTATATTTTATGCAATATATCTGTTATTTACGTTTGGAGAAGAAAATACTTTTAATAAAAGTTACTTCTAATATTATTCTCTATAATTTTTGTTCAATACAAAAATTTTCCATATTCGAGATTTTTGACAAAATGTAAAAAATTCAAATTTTTATGAAAATTATACAAATAAAAGTTATTTGCGATACAATTCTCTATACTTCTTGTCAAATACATAATTTTTCTAAAATGGACCGTATTCGAGAATTTTGAGAAAAAGTGTAAATTTCGAATTTTAAAGAAAACTCAAAAACGAATAAAGAGAAAAACATTAAATTTTAAATTTAAGCTTTATTTCGGCCTCAGGTGAACTAATTAGATTTTGGGCAGAGTCAGAATATCTGGGAGGGTACTTTATAGGGGGTCATTTTTATTTTTTATAGAATATATCCGTTATTTACGTTTGGAGAAGAGAATTGTTAAAATAAAAGTTACTTTTTATATTATTTTCTATAGTTTTTGTCCCATAAAATTTTTTCCTAAAATGGCTGTTCCGAGAAATTTTACAAAATGTAAAAAATTTTAATTTTTAAGAAATTTGTTTGTTATATCGATCTCTATAATTTTTGTTTTATACATGATTTCTTTAAAATGGACCGTAATGGAAAAATTGAAAAAAAAGTGTAAAATTAAATTTTTTATTATTTTTGTTGGCCATATGGAAAAAAACTTTATTATTGATTTTAGGAAAAAAAGTTATTCTTGATAAAAAGTCCTGCATGACCCAAAACTTCAGACATCAAATTTTTTTAAGCCGTGTTAAAAAATATGAATTTTCCTCAAGAGTAAAGAAAGTTTATTTTTGACAAAATCGAAAATTTTCCTGTGCCCAAACTTTAATCAGCTCACCGCAGGATAGATTAAAGCTTAAGTTTAAAATTTGGTGTTTTTCTCTTTATCTGTTTTTGAGTTGTCTTCAAAATTCGAAATTTGCACATTTCCTCAAATATCTCGCATTAGATTCATTTTAGGGAAATCATGTATAGGAACTAAATAATAGAGAATGACATCATAAGCAACTTTTATCATGATTCCTATACTTTCCTTATCTGTACACAAAGGAAAGCAAAAAATTGCCGTAACCGTATTTTCTTAGACAAACCATTTGCGGTGTATTTAAAAACATTTTATCTAATAAAAAAAACTTTTATCCATTGAACAGATGGGTGAAGGTGGACCTTATTTACGGATCCTGGACTATATTTATTTATCCTCTAAACATTTACAGAGGTGCTGCAATAGGTTGTACAAAATAACAGGAAAAAGCCTGTAACAACTATGAACTATATGGGGCCGTTCAAAAATTAATTAAGCAGATTTATTACAATTATTTACCCCCCCCCCCCCCATCCCCCTTGTCAGCAAAAGTAAGTAAAGCTCTTACCCCCTTCCCCCATGCTTACGTAAACATTTTTCAATTATAAATGTATTTTTTATTTTATATTATAATTCTAATTTTAAAAATAAGAAAATATATTTAGGATAAAGATTAGATTTTACTGATACAGTATTCAACATAGAGTAAGGTACAAAAATATTATAATCGTACAAACGTAACAAACTTATTTTAAATTTTTGGTACACATATTAAATTCAAATTAATAGTCTTCACTCAATGAAACCCGAATCCATGATTCTAAGTTTTCGATGACATTGGATTGCTTGGATTGCTGCTCAGTGTTGTGAGTCTGCTTACTTTCATCTGATTTTGGAATGTCTACCTCGTTCTCATCGAGCCATTCAACATCATGGTGCTCTAACTTTTGAATAATGCACAACGAGCAGCGACTCTTAAAGGTCTAACTTTCCTATCAGTGTGCGTGCTTACTTTTTTTATGGATCTTCTCGATGTAACGATTTAGTGACTTGACGGAAGCATAATAAAAACCACACGTTTTGCATGTTGGACTTGATAGCCTCAATTTTACCGTCGGACAAAAATAAATGTAGGGCATTTGCAGGAAATCTTTGAGTGAAGCACTTAAACGTGGAGCTAAATTGACTGAAAGATCAAGAAATTGCCCTCCTTAATCCAAAACCAAGTTATCAACTGTTTGTTTTACTTTTACAGGTGGTGGAAGAAACCTGTTGTCTAGTAATCTGAATAGGCCACTTCTTGGACGACAGCATTCTGTATTTCTATATTTTACAATTTGAAGCAAGTACTGGCTTTCACGCACATGTTCTGAATACCATTTAATGTCTGGAAAATCAGGAAGATCTTGTTCACCTGTCCCAACATATTTTGCAGTAACATTATAGTCATCAATTTCCATTGAATTCCATAATTCAGCTAATACATTTCCTGCAAATTCGAAATTAGATCTTTCTAAATGTTCATCAATTGTAACGCCACGTTCATCCAAATGAGACCCAAAATGGTCATGAGGCAATATTAAACCAGCCAGTTCCCGACTGAGAGGAGCCATTCTGCGCTCTACTCTGTTATGCGCTCTTTTTCCAGGAGCATTGGTAGCTAAAAACAATGCATCGAGATCATATTGCTTAAAGTATTGTATAGCAAACCCTATGACTTTTTGATAACGCGGATTTTCGTCTGGCCCTCCATCAACCGTCATGATTACCACTGGTATTACTAGTCCATGTCCAGTCAGTTTTAGCTAATGGTCGAAACTCTTCAAGTTCGAGAAGCATCTCGAAATCTTGAACATGAGTATTAGCAGTAGATGAACTATACTTTCCACTTCAAATAGCGATGTATGTTGATCCAGAATATCCAACGGCTTGCGGTTGTCCTAGCATCTTTATCTTTATCTTTATCGGTTGTAAGCAAGTAGGGTTAGGTTTGGCCCAGAACACTGCGGCCTCTTGGGTCTATTGTATTCCCCTGCTTTCCCCGTATTCAGGTACTATCTTTGGAATAGTCCTGTGTCTTTGGTTAGTTTTAATAGGTTCCCTACCAAGTGTTCCTGGGGCGTTCTTTCCGGTTCTAGGCCGAAAAGGATGAAACGTCGCCCAGTAAGAGCTTCGCATTCGAAGATCACATGGTATGAGGTTTCTTCCTCTTCCATGCAAAGTCTACACGTAGTGGGATCATTGTGTAATCCCATTACATGAAGGTGTTTCAGCAAGCAGTGCCCTAGCATACTGGAAGTGATTTTGATACCAGCATTAACAGACAGGGCCGCCGAGAGCCAGGCCGGGCCCCAGGACAAAAAAAAAACAACAAGGTCCTCACATCAAAAAACTATTTTCCCTGCTTCAATTACTTCTTATTCTAAAAAAAAGGTCCTCACATCAAAAAACACTATTCTCCCTTTCAATTACTTCTTCTTCTCAAAAAAAAGGTCCTCAGCCCAAAAAAAATTCTCTAAGCTAAAACTAAAACTTTTCCTCTACTTGTATTTAATATTAATTTAAACTTAACTTCCCTCTTTTATTAGGTATAAATTGTTGATTTGAACAAAAATTAGAATTATAAGCTTTTAAATTTTTAATCGAAATTGCATTAACATTAGGTAATAATAATAATAATAATAATAATAATAATAATAATAATAATAATATGCATATCTCCTTATTACCTTATTAACAAACAGTATTACAAAGACAGATATATATTTTTATATAATTCCAGGGATTTCCAGGGGCTATTGAAGTGCTGATTAAATTTTGGTATATTTCTGTTATTTAAGATTGGAGAAGAACATTCTTCCAATAAAAGTTTTTCGCGCTGTCATTATCTATAACTTTTGTAATTTACATGATTTCCTTAAAACGAACCGTATTGGAGATATTTGAAGAAAAGTACAAAATTATTATCTGGAATCTAACTTTAGCTGCTAGTTGCATTTTCACAGTTCAGACTAACATTCTTGACATTTCAACAAATTATAGATACTAATCGTATTACTTAAAACCTTTTATAATAGAATTCAAAATTTAAAGCAATTTCACGAACTTTACATAAATTTCTATGACCATTAACTTAAATGTACTTGTGTCTATCGACATATAGAACGTCATATATCGATATCACTATGTTTTTGTCATTTGTTCATATGTTCAAGTTAGAAAATCACAAAAATTTAATTCCGTGAAGTGAAACTTAACAAACGCTACATCAGTTTATATTAATCACTATTGGAAATTCCAATATTATAAACAATAATCTGACCTCAAACGAAGTGATTACTGTTACGATAGCCGTTACTGCACAACAATTTTGTTTATTTTAATATTTTTAAAACGCTTGATGCCATAATTTTATTAAAGTTATTTTGGTCTGTAAATGTTGAAGAACGTTGTTGTAATTAGCTGTTAGTCTTAGAAATGAAATAGGTATAAGTAACTAAAAAAATATTTAGTTTAAATTTAAATTAAATTGTTAAATTGTGTAAAAAATTAGCCATAACTTTTTTAAAATATCACGAGCTTGTGTTTTTAGTATGCCATAAAAGTTGAATCGTCAGGAAATAATGTAAAGTGTGCTAAAATATCAAGAAAAACTAATAAGTATCAAGTCTAGAGCTGATCACTGAGGTATACCCACTTATCAACCAATAAACATACATGTAGTTCTATCAAATCATTTCCATCAGATAGTAAAAGTGATAATATTAAGTCAAAGCAAAGTATTTGGATTTTTGAATCTATTTAGGATAGAAAATTCCATTCAAATCAGTCCATTCTTCTTAGGTACTTAATACGACTAGTTTTTTATTGGGTTTTTGATTCATGTAAAGTCTAAGATATAAATAAAAATAATCCTGAAAAAACGATGGCCATTTTCGTTAACCAAATTTATAAAACAATATTAAATTAAGAATTAAAAGATTACTTACAAACTTTTAAAAAAAAATCAATATTAGATTATTAAAGTCACGTCCACAGTAACCTCAGCCACTATCGCTTTCTTTAACTACCAAATGTAACACAATAAACTCGGACAAGCTAGTAATCAACATCTTTTATGTCAGTCTCATTAATAACTTAATCCGGAATAGATACGAGTTCGAATATGTTTAGAAGAAAAAATAGTATATTGATAGTTTTATTAACAGTTTTCGCGGTAGATTTTACGCAAGGTTGTCACGATCTTCAAAATGTGTTTATGACAGTCAAGGACAGATCAGGTGAGTACCATGTGAGTTACCATATTAAGTTCAACTGTGACCGTGACTTTCTCTTTAATCTACTGTCAAATTTATCAACCCATTATCAATGTTTTTATTTGTATTATTATTTATCAATATTTTCTAATACTTTTACTACAATGTAAATCATAAACTGGTCTTGATTGTGAAATCCTGACAAATTTTGATAATACTTATTATTAATAGGTTATGTTCATCATATATGTTGAATTTGAAGGTTACATTTTAATTAAAAGCACTCTATAGGTATATTTATAAATATTATTTTATCATTTGGCAACTTTCTGTACAGACCATGTACAGATTAATCTGCATTGCTCTAATTTGATGATATTGAATCTGTTTACTAGTTTTAACTATTTTAAAAATGGATGATTCAAAAACATCTGCTGCTGGCGGAAGTCACAGTTCTAGAGGTCATCAAGTCGTGATGTCCATGAATATATCTTCAAAAATTATAAAATTAAAAGGACGAAGCACTTGGAATTTTAGTATGAAACTGTATGAATGAAACTTGTGGTATTGCATTAGCTGTATACTCTTGAAAACGAAAAAACTTCTTAATGAAGACGATTTCTAAAAAATGGATACTAAAGTACTTCAAAAATATATTTGATGGTGAATGAGAGTATCTATATCCAGTCGATACCCAAGCAAAGACAGCTAGCAAACTTGGATGTATTTAGAAAAGGTATACGCTGATGCCGGTTTAGGCCGACGTCTAAATCTGAAACTGTTTCAGTTCAAAACTTTATTACAACATGGTGGCGAACATCAATGATATCTGTTAATGCCACCATAGATGGCGAGTTCGTGGGAGTAGTAATCTTAGCTGGTCTAATCAAAAAGTTCAACCCGTTGGTCATGGCTTTTGAACATTCTGGTGGCAGCATTACCACTGACTCTGTAAGAGTCAAACATTCTGAGAGAATATTATCATTTGAGATAACTAGCAATGGAGGTTTAACGTTAATGTCGTAAGGAAATAAAATAGTAAAAAATACACATATTGTAAAAAATTAGGTCATGTAGTATCTAAGTATTGGAAATGGTACACTTTTATCACCCTTGAATGCTCCTGTTACAGACAAGTATAATAATTCATCATTGGGTTTATTGACTTGGGTGCTACTCCTTACATGTCTAATAGAAGAGCTTGGATGGGCATCTCATGGTTAATTAGTATTGCAAATGATAATATAATTTTTATTGAAGAGAAAGGTACGGTTTCTATTAATATTTCTGGGAGAAATCATCAAATTTCTGATGTAAATTTCTGTAAATAGTTTAATTAATACATTTTTTCTGAAACAGGTGGTTCAATCTTGCAATAATATATTTATAAAATCTCTGCTACACTATATAAACTTAATGTGTAGAAAATTCAAGCTCATGTTGCAAAACAAAAAGTAATAGATCTTTATGGGGGTGGGTTGGCTCAGTGGTTAGAGTCATGACTTTAAGATCGGAAGGTCTCAGGATCGAATCCCACCAGTGTCAAGGATTTTTATTTAATTAAAAAAAAATTAAATATTAATTCTAATGCATAGGTAGGATTCTCCACTCGACCATTCACTGTTGGGTTCTAATTAGCAGTGCTGTTCCTAAAGTGGCACTGGGAAACAGTAACAAAGCCTACACAGAACACGAGGCTAATGGCCGTAGTAGTCGACGCCGATGACACCAAATTTTAAAAAAAATAAGTCTTTAGCACAGACGTCTTTGGATGTCTTAACTTAGAAGTTTTAAAGATTCTAAAACCGAGAAATTTAGTTAAAGACTTTCAAGAGAGGGAACTGGTACAAACTTGCTTAACATGTTTACAAGGCAAATTAATTAAAAGTCCTTTTAAACTTTCAAAAACAACAAGTTACTTTCTTGAACTAATTGACAGACTTATGTGGTCCTATCAACACAAAATCTTGAATCTACTGACTTTCAGCGAAGATTATACTTTTGGATATTTTCTAAAGTCAAAAGGTGACGTTAAAGAAAAGTTTGTAGAATTTAAAAATCTTACTAAAACTCGTACAGGTAGATCACTGTTCCTTATGGAATGGAATTGCAGAAAGGATAAACAGGATGTTGATCGAAAAGACAAAAGGTCAATATTAGAAGATTCTAATATTCCGATAGGTTACTGTCAGTACAGCAAAATATTTAAAAAATCGCTCTCCCACGAAAGTTTTGAAGAAAATTCCAGAAGAAGAAAGGACGGGAACAAAATTTGTTCTTTCGTATCTAAGAGTTTTGGTTCTGACGCTCATATGCCTGTACCAAAAATTAAATGTTATATATTTGATTCTAAAATAGTACCTTGCATATTTGTTGTTCACTGTACTGCAATGGTTTGATTGGTTCTCATAATCCTAGAAAAACAGTAGCTAGGGATGTAGTTTTTATGGAGGAGAAAAACGCAATCAATGAAAAACAAATAGTGACCCAAAAGCAAGCAGAATTACCTTGTTTTTATAGAAATCTTCTCAGAAAATTTAGATCCGTCACAATCAATGAATAGTCTTCAGATTCAAGAAGATAGATCATTAATAGATCAATTACTGTTTATAAAACCCGATGTAGCTCATTAAGGAGAAAATGGAATAGAAGAAGAACAAACGAATTTTGTTCTAAACATTGTTGTGAAAAAGAAAAAGAGATCGTTATCCAAAACAATATCTGAACGATATAATTATGTATATGTAAGAACTGAAGATAATACTTCTACTTCATATAATGAATCAATAAACAATAACAATAAAAGGATTGAAGCTATAGACCAGTGGTCGCCAACCTCTCAATGTGTTGAGCTACTTTGTTAATTTTGGAATAAACAGCGAGCTACCCACACGGAAGCCACATAACGCAACGTAAATGAAATAATCCACAGTTAATTTATCATTATATGTATTTTTTTTACTATTTAACTGGTAATACATAATACATAGGTACTAATAATAAACTAATAACAAAATAACTAATATTACTAGTACGTACTTGTTCATAGCTACATTCCTACCTACCTAACGAAGGTGTTTGAAAAATAAACACACACTTTTATCCAGCCACAACGGCATGTCACATAAGATTTAAAAATAGTTAATAATAACAACAAAAAAGTAATACACTATCATGAACATAAACATTGAAAAATAAAAAAGCACGTTCAATGAAAAGGCTGACACTCAGACTCATCGATAATTTTTTTAATGTTTGCAGTATAATTTGATACAGCCATTCGAATACAATTATCCACATGTTCATCTGTAAGTCGATTGCGATATTTGGTCTTAATAAACTTCATATTGGAAAAAGAAGATTCACACAAATAGGTTAAACTGAATAATGCTTTCACTTTCAAGGCAACACGGCATAGAACTAAATATTTATCTTTACTTACAATAGGCCAGATACATTTGGTACTTGAGACTAACGATTTTAAGGCTAAATCATTTTGAAACTCAATTACTTCCATTTCTGTTGCAGCGATGTCTTCGCCAAAGTTCTGCATACCACAAGTTGCAAACTATTGGATATCAATTTCCATAAAGGGTGAAACAACAAACTGCGCTACTAAAGCCATTTCGTTGAAATCCTTAAAACGATTTTTGAAGTTATTCTTCAGGGTAGAAACTATTTCTACACGATATTTGCTGTCATAGGGTTCTAATGAATTTTGAGATATTTTTTCTGAAAGAATAGGAAAATACTTGGCATCGCTGTTAATTAGGTTTTATTCCCAAAACTCCAGCTTTTTGATAAATGCTTTTATATCAGAAATCATTTCCGCTAGTTCTTTGTCTCTCCCCTGAAGCTGCAAATTAAGTTCGTTTAATCTCTGTAATGTCCACGAGAAAACCAAAATCTCTAAGCCAGATTGAATTTTCTAGTTCCGGAGTCGGTTCATCGCGTTGTTTGAAAAATTGAACTATGCCAGATAGGACATTATTAAAACGTTTCAGCACCCGTCCTTTACTTAACCATCGGACTTCAGAGTGAAGGAGTAGGTCCCCGTATTGACAGTCAACTTCATCGGCCAAGGTTTTAAATAATCTTCTTTGTAACGCTTGAGCTCTAATCTTGTTCACAATTTTTATCACCAGTTTCATAACGTTGTTTAGTTTCAGGAAATTTCCACATAATGCTTCCTGATGGATAATGTAGTGGTAACAGAGAAATTGCGGAAAAGTTTCATCTTTACGACATAATGCCATCAGACCCTTATCACAACTCACCATAGCTGGAGCGCCATCGGTTGTCAAGCCTACCATTTTCGATATTGGAATTTTCTCGGAAGAAATAATATTTTTTAAATGAGAAAACAACTCCTGTCCAGTAGTGTGTCCTTTCAGTGGAATAAACTTCAAAAGATCTTCTTTAATCGTAAAATCACTAAAAACCATCCTGACGAACACAGCCATTTGGGCAGTGTCAACGACATCTGTTGATTCATCCAGTTGAAGTGAAAAATAAACACAGTTATCTAAGTCAGTTCTTAACTCTAAAAAAATATCATTGCTCATTACTTCTACACGTTTCATCACTGTATTAGCAGAAAGTTGCATAGATTTTATAGCTGAAACTATTTCATCTTTATTTCTAAAGTTGGCAAATAACGAATCAGCAGCTTCTAAAAACGCCTGTTTTATCATTTCGCCGTCTTTATAAGGTCTCTTTTTTTGTGCAATTATCTGGGACACTCGGTACGATGTTTCAGTTGCAGCCTTATTTTTGTCGACTGTTCTTAAAAATATTGATTGTTGTCCAATTAACTGCTTTTTTAACTGTTTCAGTTTCTCCTTTCTGGCGGCAGAACGTAGTGGGAATGATTTTTCAAAATTAGAATGTACAGTTTTATGATGTCTCTCAATATTTCCTTTTTTAGCAACGGAGACCGAAGTATCACATAACAAACACATTTTTATCTTTAACTTCTGTAAAAAAGTATTGTTCTTCCCTTTCCGAATGAAAGTGGTATGTCTTTACCTTCTTACAACTGCTTGCCATATTATTTTTTGTTGTTCTCTACTAACCCAACCGCTGGACGTTGGTTACGCGTTCAGTTTTAAACTAAGCGCAATTTCGCCGCACCGTGCGTATTTATCCCGTTCAAAGCAATCCTGATCGTTCTCGAACACTAACGCGCTGGTCTGGCTGGTCGGTTCTAGCCGATTCTAGCTTGATCGCGTCAGCGGCAGATCGCTCACCGCAACGTTGCCGCTGTTTATGTTTAATATTATGACAATTAGATTTTTTTGTGGAATTTTCGGAAGCTTCTCTGATTTTCGCAGTTTGTATTTTTTAAATTAAAATCATTGTGAGAACTACCAGAATTGCCTTTACGAGCTACCGGTAGCTCGCGATCGACAGTTTGGTGACCACTGCTATAGACGCTAAATATATCTCTTTGGTGAATGGTGTAACATGGTTAAACGCAGAGATAGGAAAATCATAAGGAGCAATAGGGTTTATACAATTAAAAAAATCACAGATGGCGAAATAATGAAATTTAAAGGCCAACTAGGGACAAAGATAGTTTATCCATCTGGCAACATACTTTGTAGATGTTGCAAATAAATATATCCCCTTAATATTTGTTAAAGTGTGATAGAACCAATAAAATTACCAATTATTTCAATCCACACATTTATTTTGAATGTGATGCTTTTTTCACACGTATTAATTTATATTTAACGTTTCAGGAACTTGGTTTAATAAAACGGTTTCTGAATGCATACAGAGAACGGTCTTCGATGGTAGAACAGCGGTGGAGATCCACGTGAAAAACCAAAATATTCCGAACTTGGGAAAAGACTACGTCAAGAATTTGGTAAGGTTGGATATTTTGGAATTCAAAAATTGCGCCATTGAAACCATTGCCCGTGGTGCTCTGAAAAATTTACCAGTTATAAGAATCGTTGGAGTTACTCATAATCCGAAATTGAAGCTTATTACAGGAGGTATGTATGTAAATATAATAAAATATAAAACAGAAGGGTATTGAGACAAAATTAGGCAACGTTTTCAACTACATTAAATCTGTAGGCTGCCTCAAGAGCTGGGAGGTGCCTAACTACTAAGAATTCACAATGGGTCTAGTGAGGCCTAAGTGTCACATGTGACAGATACAGATACCAAACAAACAAACAAAATGATTCAATAATAATAATGACTATAACTTTTACCGCCAAAGAGCCGGCATATATAAAAGTCACTACTGAAGTCAGGCCACAGTCATTTTACCATCAATAACAGTTACAGGACTTTTAACATCCCATAGTCACTTTGCCATTATACCGTTAAAGGTATAATATATAAAAGCTCTTTATTATTTTAATTATAGAGCAAAAACTTTTTAACTTCTAACTTTTTAACATTTTCTTTTTTTAGGCATTTTCGACATTTTCGAAACGATCCACATTCTGAGGCTGCACAACAACAACATAGACACCATTACAGACGAGGCTCTATCGAATATGACCCTGCAAGAAGTCAACTTCAGTTATAATAATTTTTCAAAATTCGATCCAGTTTGGTTCGCATACTCTCCCTACATCAAACATCTATATTTCCAAAACAACCGCATCCAGAAAATCCAGAAAAAGGCTTTCGATACCATGCAGGAACTGGAAAACATTAATTTCGCTGATAATAAAATTAATGATATCGGTTATGGAGCTTTTGGTAAATTAAGAAAATTGAAGACGTTGAATTTGAGAAATAATCATTTAAAAAAACTTAACTCCAATAGTTTTCCGAAAAATTTTAAAATAGAATCGTTGAATTTGGCTGGGAATTTTTTGCTTAATATCGATAGAAACGTTTTATCAACGTTATCTTTAGATGAAATAATTCTGGATTATAATTGTTTCATTTGTTCCTGTTATTCGGATTTGATTAAATATTTTAATGAAGAAAATGTTATAGTTAAGAAAGCTGATCATTGCAATTTAAATTACTTGCCTTACTGTATAGCCACAGGTCCTAAATGTATAGAGCCTGAAATGAATACTAAGGAATACGAAACGGTTACAGAATTGATAGAAAAATTTAAGGATGTTTATAAAAGTTTGTCTCCTTTTGCTAGAAAATGTGCTCAATTGTAATTTAAATCCCAATATATTTAAAATGCAATCTTGTGATATAATAAATAATATTTTTTTAACAGACTTCTAATCATTTTCCTGGTGTAGTCAATATTTCTTAGATCATGATCTAATATACTCATAAAAATTTCTGGAATACATAATTGTATTACGTCAGAAATTTTTATTTGTGTATTTGTCAAAACTGTCATCATAAATAGGTAAATACTGTGAAGGTTTCAAACAAAAATAAATTTGATAAAAGCAAGGAGTTGAAAATTGTTAAGTAAAGGTATTTTTTATTGTTAAAGTTGTTAATATTGTTCAAAAAATTGGAATCTGTTATAGAAAGATCAACATAAAGAAAATTATTAAATAAAAAGACAAAGAATCGGTGATATTTAGAGAGCAACCGGAACAGAACAGAAGAAAGGTATCAACAGTAAGCAATAAGGTATTTAAGTAAAAACAATGAATCAGAGAAGGAGATCCAAGCAACAGACCAAACGATAAAGGGAAGCAGAACAGATAGAAGTAAAAAAAATTGTCTTTATCTACAAGGTATTTGGCAGTTTGACAATCGTAGACAGATGGGCTGAATTCTTCCTTTACTCAGTCGGCCATGTCTGCGATGACCATGACCAAGTCATGATACACAGACTAATGGTATGCTGACTTTCGATTCAAAATTCGTCCAAACCACGCATGACGTAATGCCGGACAACCTTTCAAGTTATTTTGACACTTTTTGATTGAATAGTGTAAAATAATTTAATAATTTATTTGGTTTTGTGTTAGTAGTGACTATATTTTCCTATATTTAACAGGGAAGAACTAAATTAATGTTTAGCCTGTCTGCGCGGTGGATACAAACTTAATTGAAGTTGCCTTATCCACTTTGAGGAAAGTAGTTGTGAGATTCCTCTTAAACATAGACGCAAGAAAAGAAAACTGAATTTCACCAGGTGCACGGGCCTCATTAAGCAAAGAAAATAAACCGGTATTTTTAAATTTTAGCAGATAAAACAGTAGTTTCCTGTCCCAATACAACGGTTCTTTTGAAGTAATGCCATGCATAAGCAGGACACGAACACATATAATAAGAACAGAAAAATTGGTTTTAAGTATTTTCGAACTAAACTTGACAAAAAATGTTTAAATTTACCAAATAAGAAGTAATTTTTTTGTGTATTTACTTCTCATAAATAAATAATTTGTTTCTGCAAACTTATTTTTATTTCACATAATAAGAAAAGAGATTGCAAGAGAACTACCACGCCCAAAAAGTACATATATGAGTCAAACTTGTATTTTTAGTCTATATTTTTTACTTATCTTGTGGCCAGGTTATGGATTTTGTCACAAAATACCTATAATTTATGAGAAAAATTTATATTTTTATTACTATTATTTACCTTACTTAAACCTTCATATTTGTAAACGAATATATTACAAAATAACCAGTAAAGCTTAACCCCTTCAGACCTGGCGTCCATTGTAATGGACATCGATTTCAAATTTTTTTTACTGCCAACTAAATCTAAAAACTTCTGCCTAGACTGTTTGTCCCTATCAAGTGACCTGTATTCAATTCATTCTTGGGACTAGTGGCACCATCTAGTGTCAAAAGGAAATATTATTCGCCATAAGTATCTGTCAAATATAACCAAGCAGTGAGTTACTTCCTAACAATAGTGCTATAAAACTGTTGTTTAATCCATAATAAGGATTTAGAAAATTAGTATTTGCTATAACTAAACCAATCCTGCAATAGTTTTGCTTATTATTTGATTTACAAGAAGATGTCCATGGACCTGGACAAATAGTACCAAGCGCTAAAGTTGTGTGTCCTTTCTGATGTACGTGTAGAATGAAGCGTTGTTAGAAATTCCATATGTCCATATACGTTTAAAATTTTACAAGATGAGTAACAAAAAAAAAAAAAATATCTCTCGAAAACTCGAAAGATGTGCAAGAGCTAATAGATATTATTGAAAATGGAGATCTCTCCGATATGGAAAATATGAGCGTAGAAGGGCAGTCGAGTGATGAAGAAATAGAGGAATATATCTCTCAGCCTACAAGAAGGGTGGATGTGGATAACCAAAAGAAGAATGAAACGGAAGAAGAGATAGCAGAGACAGCAGGCATGGACATGAAAAAAATTTCAGATTCAAGTGAAACAGAATAAACTGAAATACCCGCTACTAAGTCAAAAAAGAAGAATATAAAATGGAATAAAAATACATTTACACCTCCAGAAATTACATGGACTCTTTCAACTAACACTGCCAATCCCGGTGAACCCCTACATCCAATAGATTATTTTCTAAAATATATCAAGCCTGAAGACTTCGAGAGTATGACTTTTTTTACGAACCTTTATGCTGTTCAGCAGGAAAGAAACTTTAGACCAACTTCCGCATCTGAAATCCAAATATTATTTGCTTTGCATATATAATTATCGAGTGTCTTAACAAATTCCCGAAAATCAGAATGTACTGGGATCGGACACTTGGTATTGGAGTCTTTTTGGAAAAAATGGGTAGAGACCGGTTTTAGTGAACAATTTAGATAAACCACAGAATTGTGTAGACAAGCTTTACAACGTCCGACCTCTAATAAATTCGATAATAAATAGGTGCCACCAACTAAATCTCAAAAAAAACCTCTGTATAGATGAGCAGATGATTCCATTTAGAGGAAATTTATCTATCAAGCAATACATAAAAGGAAAACCTTTGTGTTGTTTGTTTTATGTGGAAAAAGTGGGCAACCTTATGACCTGGTAGTGTATCAAGGTAAAACTACAGGTCTTAACGATGAAGACTTGAAAAAATATGGACTTGGCGCCAGTGTAGTGCTTCATCTAACAGAGAGAATATCAAAAGGAGAACATAAATTGTATTGTGACAACTATTTCCCTTCATATGAGCTGCTGAAGATTCTGAAAGAAAAACAAATATGTGCAGCGGGAACAATACGAATGAACCGATTTTTTAAACCTGATTTACTGTCTGCCAAAGAAAAAAATAAGAAAGAAAGAGGTTTTTCAGATGAAACAGTTAGTGAAGATGAAATTGTAGCCGTGAAATGGTTGGACAACAAATCAGTATGCCTTGCATCAAATTTTATTGGAAAGGGCAAGGAAGATAAAGTGAAACGATGGCATAAAAAAACCGAAATATATTGAAATAGATTGACCGGAAATAATTAAGAATTACAATCACAGCATGGGAGGAGTAGATTTACTGGATCAGCTGATTAGCCTCTATCGCATTTTTATCCGCTCCAGAAAATGGACGCTGAGAGCGATCATGTATTTTGTTGATTTTGCAGCAGTCGCGAGTTGGCTAGAATATAAAAAGGACTGCGAAAAATGTAGCTATCCTAAAAAAGAAATTTTGGATTTGCTGTCGTTCAGAATGCGCGTGGCGGATGGCGTGATATTAGTTGGCAAGCCTGTTAACAAAATCAAAAGAGGAAAACCATCTAATTCGCCTACACCTCATCCATCATCACCCATTTTTAGACGACCAGAAAAACGACCAATTGAGGAAGTTCAGTGTGATTGAGTTGATCACGTGCCTGACTATGACGATAAAAAAAAGCAACAAGGTGCAAGTTTCAGAGCTGCAAAGGCAAGACCCATGTTTTTTGTGACAAATGTAAGGTTCATTTATGTTTTATAAAAGGTAGAAACTGTTTCAAGAATTTCCATAGGAAATAAAAGTTAATTTTGTGTTGTATCCGTATGCTGTTTTATAAATAAAAGTTAATTTTGCATTGTATCTGTATACTGTTTTATGACACTCCAGCTTATTTATCCACTCTAGTGGACATCCTGAAATACTGTAAAAATAAAAACAAAATTTTTTTTCATGTTTGCTTATCCTAATAATACACTAAAACACTTAAATTACCAAAGAGAATTATTTTTTGAAAAGTATTAAATTCGGGCCTGAAGGGTTTAAGTAACTGCATAAAATCTAAAATTGGCAAAATATTGAATTTTAAAGACTATCTTCCCCATGTGACGTTGTAACAACCAGTTTACCTAAAGACCATTTGTAACTACTGATAGGTCTTTAGCTACTATTGTTAATATACTATTAAGGGATTAGGGCAGCGACGTCACCAGCCAAAGGGTCCTGGAGTCCTGAAGGAACATCCATTCGCCAGTGGCAAAAAAAAAATAATAAAGAAAAAATAATAAAATACAAAAAAACATCTCTTAATAGCATATGTCGAGCGGTTCTTGGCAACTAGTTTTAGACTCTTTTAGTCCTAAGGGAATAGAAACGCCGAGGCTTCTCAAATGCTCGGAGTATTTTGCTGGTTTGGAAAGGGAGATTAATAATAAGTATTAAAATATTAACAAATGTATATTAACAATGACTATAAAACTTGACAGTCTTAAGAAAAAATGAACAAAATTCCATTTAGGGAATAAAGCACTATAACTAATAGTAATAAAGATATGCATAAGATATAATTCGGGACGAAAATGTAAAATTGGCATTTATATGTAAATCACTCAATCAATTAATTATTAAACAAAAACACTGTAAAATTAAGTTAAGATATTTACCCATAATTCACATCGTACACAAAAAACTTTACACATTACTTTACAATACAAAACCAGGGTTTCGCCCAAGGGGCGAAAGTTCTGGACCTTAGTCCGAACCCGACTGAGAGTTTCCCCAAGTGATCCTTTCTATATAAACCAAAATTTATGTGACTGTTGATTGTATTTAACAATGTCACGTTCAATGTAGATTAATAAATTGAAGGTTTGTTTCATTGTGTCTTTTTAATTATTTAATTTAAACATTAAATACTTGTTTAGAATTTTTGGTAAATTCTTTAGATTTTTTCAATTAATAATAATGCCAATTATTACAACGTCACCGTCAGTCAGCTGCATGCGCAGGAACATACCGTTAGTCTGTGTATCGTGAACCAAGTCAGGAAAGTGTTTTGACAGCATAAGTTTGAGGCATGCAGTTTTCATGCAATCAATATTTGAGAGATCTTTTTGAAGCCTTGTTGAATATGAGAAATTTTCGATTTCTTTACAGCATGCTCTCTGTTTTGTCTAACGACTTTTTTGTATTCTATAAGTTTCTCAGTCCTCTTTGAGTTTTACCTTTTAAGAGATTTTCTAGCCATTGTGACACCACCCTACGATAGACGTCTGATCGTGTTGGATCAGCTCCAATAACAGGATTTCTTTTACCTAAGTTTTTTTTGCTTTAGATAGTGTTCGAATACTTTTCCATATCATTGTTACTGTTTGTTTAACCATCGTTGGTTTAAAATGTTTTCAGAAACTTGCCAGTTTATAACATATATCATAAATAGTACTGGGATCAAAACCGGGTCTTGTGGAACTCTATTTGAATTTGAATTTTGTTTTTGTTTCAACTATATATTTTGAGTTATAGTTTTTAAAAATAAACATAGACACATGATACCATAATCATATATTAATTGAAAAATTTTAGACGAAAATAAATGGATAGGCACTCTGCATCATTCATATAATTAAACAAATTGTCATAAAATTCATACAGTGCTGTACTGGTGAATTTTTCAGATCTAGATCTATGTTGACTATATGACACAGCACTTCCTTTATTCAAAAATTTAAACAGCCTATATATAATAATCAAAAAACTTTATAAAAACTGAAAGTAAAAGTTATAATATGTCTGTGGTTTTCTAGAAATTTTATGCAGCTTTTCTTGTGAACTGAGATAACTTATCCTAACTTTTCCAATAGTAAAAGTGAAGTTTATTAAAAAGAAAAAAAGGTTTTTTCATAATAAACATAGACTAGTTTTTATTTTTAGGCCTTGATCTAAGTCATTTGTAGTAAAAAATATCGGAAAGTTATGAATAGTTTGATTATCTTCAAAATTATACTATTTTTTCAACAAAGCAGACATTTCATTTTGTAATCCTGTTGAAAAATTCTTAAAAATAGTAAAAACAACACTTAACTCGTTTATTAAGTTCAGAAATCACTTTAAAAGTTGGTTGAACTGGATTCTTAGAGTTTTGATAAAAAGTAATTTTCTTGTTTTTTAAGAGAAGTCTTTATTAAAATTAGCAAATTAAGGAAATTTACTTTTAAAGACT